GAGAGATATTAGAAAAATTCAACTAGAGTGTTGTATGGAGAAAGGTATGTCATCTCTCTCTCTCTCTTTCTTGTGCTAAATTGACAAATGATTTGATTATCTCTAAGGAAAACAAGGAGAAATAAGTGTTTCTAGGTGGACTGATTTGGTTGATGAAGAAGAACAAGTTTCACCTCATCCTTTGAATAGCAAATTAATCCCAGAGGCTTCAATATTTGTGCCTAAAAGTGTGATCGCAAAGAAGAATGAGTCAGGAGCCTCAGCATCAGGAATTAGCCAATATATTGATTTGGGAGAGGAATTCTTTGAAGAGGATGATGATTTGGGAGAGGAATTCTTTGAAGAGGGTGATGATTTGGGAGAGGAATTCTTTGAAGAGGATGAAGAAGATAATATGTTAGATATATGTTTTAATAAAGTGGATAGGGATGGGGATCCTTCACCTAGGCAACAAAGAAGTGGAAGCAGCAATAACAACAACAAAAAAAGACACATGGAAGACAACATAGTTAGCATGGTAAGGTGACTGAGGAATTTGTTCCAAGGCACCTACCTATGCGACTGACAAAGCAGAATCATATGAGAGTTTCAACAACTTCGACAAGATCCAATAAGTCTAAGAAGAAGTGATGAACTATCAAGTATTATTGGACGGATATGAAGAAGAAGATTAGAGGAAAATACTTCAGGTTAATCTAGATAAGCAAAATGTCTTTTTAGTTCATACATATATAAAAAGAAGTTTGCAATTGATAACTCAACCTTCTTCGCGATGTAGATATTTTTGCATTATTTAAGTATCTTCATTTGTCTTATCATCATAGAGTGTATAATAAACTCTGTGATGATCATGAAAAACTTGGTTTTCTCTAACTCTTATTCTCTTCATGCTTGTTAATTAATGGAGGTTTGTTATAACTTCATTAGGATTGGTATGGTATGGCCGAGCTCACCTTTCTTGTACTTATTTACGTTGAGGTTTTTATCTTATTATTAATAAGACCACTAGATGTCCTGTCTAATGGCATAAAATTGTTGGATAAAAAAAATCAAAATGTTTATAGTTTAACTCTGAAAAGAAAACTATAAAATTAAAAACGGAAGAAGTAGTACTACCATTTTTTTCAATGCATATACCTAGCCTCTAGTGTTTGGTTTGAAAAATTTCTCCCCAAATTAAGTACTTCTCGTGTTATTACATAAATATTACTTATTGTGAAAAATCTTTTTCAATAGTCAACATTTTTATCGTTAGCAGCCTATTACTTTTAAATATTAATAGTCAATATCTTTTGTATAAATTTTAAGAATCACATAGTGTAATAATGAAATTACCTCCTTTCCCTACTCTTTTTCTAATTGCCTAAATCCCATGTTTTTGAGGCTATCCAGATACATAACAAATTGAGAGGATACATTATTGTTGATATACCAACTACGTCTGTTAAACATAATAAAGGGAGAAATTGAAAATTAAATTCATATCCCATGATTGACGCTTTTCAGTTTCACATAATAATCAATTATAATCACACCAGATCCGAAAGAATTGAAAATTTAAATCTCTTCCCCATGTTCTTTGTTTAATTAAGTTTAATAGCAAAAATAGATTAATATCCAAATTAGTTTTATTTTCTTCAAGAAAGATGACGACGACGTTTAAATGCCAGATGAGAAGGTAATATTTGTAGTTCAACAATTGAGTGCAGCTATGGCTAATAGAGTGTATGTATTAGTGACAATGTCACTCGAGATTGTAATCAAGATTACAAGTATTAGATGATGATTGTTGTAGTAGTAGTTCATTCAGTAGTTGATAATTTCAAAAAATACATAATGAATATTTCAATTTGCTGAGGCATTCAGAAATCTGGAATAACGAGGTTATTTATGAATGATACAAAAGTGAATAAATCACCGTTTGTGAAAATATTTCATTCATCAACTTAATTTCAGCCATTGCGACAGAATTGAATATTAATGCATTAAGAAAAAAATTGAGATCTGATACATGGTATAAAGTAATTATTCTGTATTGATTATTAGGAATGATAAGTGAGTAAGTTCGTACATCGAAGTAAAGAAACATGAGGTTGGGTACCTCACTTGGAAATCTGATACATTACGTTGTTTCTACATCTGAAGAAATTATGTGTATCGAAGGTTGATCAGGAAAAATACTGAAACTCTTGATATGAATATGTAAGTTATGATACATTAGTAGTAAACAAAGAATGTGTATAGTAATTTCTTGAGTTATGGTATGATCATTATTTTGAATCTGATTGTATCTGATAAATGTAACAAAGAGATTGATAATTGAGTTGTGTCAAATACATTTATATAATTAACGTA